AAAGATTAAGGGGTCTGTTGACTGTGATCTCACTAGAGTCTAAACTGTCTAACTGTTTCCTGTCCAAACTTGTACTGAGGTGCACAAGGGCTAAATGGAGCACTTTGATCTTGATGCCAGTTTTTAGACCCTTGTATTTGCTATATTTAAAAATTATGCCAACATGGTTATTATTAGACTTAGAGATTTGGGTTGATCTGAATTGCAAATCGGTTAAATTTCGGTCAATTTGGTGCCATTCGGAATTTCTAAAATACAATGCAAATTGTATCTGAATTCTAAAAAGATAGTGCGATAGCTGGGCCAATTTGGTTCATTAGGAATTTGTTTTCCAGATGCACCTAGTAGTAGCCACTGCTCCATAACACCAACTCAGAATCACTAATTTACAGGTTGATTGCAGGGCTTCCCTGGCAATTTTCAGTTTAACCCTTTAAGGACACATGACATGTGTGACGTCATGATTCCTTTTTATTCCAGAAGTTTGGTCCTTAAGGGGTTAAACCAGCATTTTTTTGACTGAAATACTCAACCAAGGTTCCGAGGCTCATTTTCAGAAGTCCGAACCAAGTCTATTTGGAGGAATCAAACACTTTTGCTATGTGCAAGTCTAATTATTAGTCATAAATTCAGTGGTGTATCCTGGTTTTGTGCTGCCCTAGGCAGGACAAAACTCAGGCACCCCCACCCGCGCAACCGCCACCCAACCTTCCCCCCTGCTCCGCCTTCTAAATACACACACACACATTCACTGACAGATACGCATTCACTAGCTAACAGAAACACACAGTCACTAACAGACACACACTCACTAACAGACACACACACTCACAGGCAAACACACACACACTAACAGACATCCACACTAACAGACATCCACACTAACAGACATACACTAACATTAACAGACACACTAACACTAACAGACACACACACTAACACTAACATACACACACTAACACTAACATACACACTAACAGACACAAACACTAACATACACACACACACTAACATACACACACTAACATACACACACTAACAGACATCGACACACACACACACACACACATAACACTAACATACACACACTAACATACACACACTAACATACACACACTAACAGACATCCACACACACACACACTAACATACACACACACACACTAACATACACTAACACTAACATACATACACACACTAACATACACACTAACACACACACACATACACACACTAACATACACACTAACATACACACACTAACACACACACACTAACAGACATCCACACACACACTAGCACATACACACACTAGCAGACATACACACACTCACTAGTGTTTTTTTTTTTTTTTTTATTTAACCCCCCCCAGCCTCCTTACCTTTGGTAATGCTGGGGGGGGTTCTTCCTCTCCCTGGGGTCCAGTGGCTGCAGGGCGGGCCGCCGAGGGAGCTCTTCCCCTGAGCGCTCTGCTCAGCTCCCTCGCGCGCCGCCAGCAGAGTGAGGCTGGGAGCCGGAATATGACGTCATCAACCCGGCTCCCAGCCTCACTCTGCTGGCGGCGCGCGAGGGAGCTGAGCAGAGCGCTCAGGGGAAGAGCTCCCTCGCCGGCCGCCCGCCCAGCGCTGCAGCCACTGCCGCCCAGCGCCCAGAATGTCTGTTAGCCGCGAGGCTAACAAGACATTTGCCTTGGGCATTTGGGCGGCGGCGTTTTTTGCCGCCCCCTGAAAAATGCCGCCCAAGGCAAATGCCTTGTTTGCCTCGCGGCTAATACGCCCCTGCATAAATTATACATCCTTCCTTCTGCTCTAAGAAACCTGAAGCCAGCAGATTCAATAAAAATGCCAATCTGCGGTGTATATAAAGTTGTTAAAACGTTCCCCATAATCTGTCACAAGTTTACTCATCCTGATTTTCCTGAAAGTGAACAGCTTTAAACTTATAAAATTAACTTTTTTAGATATTCCTCAGCATTAATCAATGTACAAATATATTATCCTATTATTGCTTACCTTTCCATTCACTCTATATTATGGTTTAATATATTTTTATACATTGACAGTAAAGGAGTTAATTCCCAGAATGCATCTTTGCAGAAGGCATTCGTGATGCCAAAAGAGAAACATAATATAAATCTGAAATATATGAAATAAATCGTACTCTTGCAAACAAACCTTAAGTAATGCATATCTCTATTTGCTGGATTTAGAAATACTGTTACTGTACCTTAAATATGACCGATCTCTTTTATATGGCCAGTATAATCTGCAATTTGGCTCATGATAGATCGATGTCATTTTCTTAGGCTAGATAAATGAAACATCCATTTTTTAAATTTCTTTTATTTCTTTGTGTTTTTTTTTAAAGAAAGATTTACTTTATTCCTTTGTGGAATCTCCTGGAATGATGATAAATTGCATTTTCGAGTGAAAGTGGCAGTATCAGTGAATAGAATGTGATGCTGTTTACTTGGTTGCCATGGTTACAGGGAGTACCACCCATACACAGTCTTGTCATTGGTTGGATACATTCTAACATATTGAACCACTATAAACGGCGCAGAGGACTGAAGCAATGTAAAGAGGTATCGAATGTCACAGTCTGTGATTTACTCTTACGGCTGCGGTGTTTGTTCGGGGTCTTTAAATTGATCGTGACATTAATGGTCCTAACCTTTGAACTTGACAATATGATTACATAGGTTCTATGTGACATCACCGCGTCACCATCAGGGAACCATATGAAATGCTTACATTTTATACTTAACGTGTATTTAGAGTGGCAGCTCTTGTTCTTGTACTGTAATTTTAAATATAAGCAATTTGTGCTGAATATCCGAGAAATCGAGTTGTTTAAAACATAGCTGATTATAACTACATATTCCTAATCTTGCTGTGCTGGTTTGAATTAAAGCAATATTTTTTCCTGCATAAACCATAAATCAGCATTAGAGGTTTACATTATCTCCTATAGAGACGGAAACTTGGCGTATGAGGAGGTTACAGTCCGTTGGGGAATTTGTCCTTTGCCGCTACATGTGGACGGCCTAATTGACTAAAGCACTGTAATTATAATGGGTGCCATACCTTCTGGTTATAGTAAAGAGACAGTAAAGCCACATCGCCTACGTACCTCACTCGCCGGCTGCTAGTAGTGACATCTAGTGGAATGGCAAGATAATGCAGGTTTACTAATTTACAGAGCACTCGCATAGTATGCTATCTTTATGGTATGCTATTTAATGGTCTTCTCTTTATTGGACCATTAAATGTAATCAACATTTTCAAAGAAATATGATTGTTTATCAAGACTGTACATCAAGGCATTGTCATGCGTATTATAGCAAAACACAAAAAACACCACAAAACTTTTTGTTTTCTTTATATAGTTTAAATGTATTTATCAACTACATATGTGTCCAGTGACTCTCAACGAGTTTTGTAATGAATTATTTAACTGCTGTCTCCCAAGACCACCTTATTAGTAATTGGGAAGTCTTTCTTCACGTTTTACTAACATTCTTATTAAAACATACATGAATGAACTCTGATTTCGCACCTGCTCAGTGGTGTACACTCAATAATAATAATAATAATAATAATAATAATAGACTCTTTAAAATAAGAATAAAGTGTTATAAGATGGGGCTGGTATAAGGACGCAATGCTATGGACAATGCTATGGGCCTGCGTTTATTTCCAGGGCTGGTTTTTATCCCCAGTCCGGCACTGATATGGTGTGATGTCCCTGTGTTATGCTTGTAAAAAGGTGTGATTTACCTATGTTGTACTTGAAATAAGGTGTGATGTGCCTGTGTTATGCTTGCCATAAGGTGTGATGTGCCTGTGTTATGCTTGCCATAAGGTGTGATGTGCCTGTGTTATGCTTGCAGTATGGTGATAATCATTCCACTGGCACACCGCCATCGTCACACAAATGTAAATATATATTTATGATTTGAGACTGATAACAGATTCATTAGAGCAAACCCTATCATTGGCATTATTGGGAAGGCACTGGATAAGAAGATTTGCGATTTCATGTGCACTGGCTGATAGTGTACTCCTTGTAGTGATTTCATATAGAGAGGACGGGCTTTGGGTGACTGGCAGGACCTCAGGAACATTCAATTCCTCTTTATTTACGTTTTTATGGGACAGGGAGGATCAGGAAACAAATTATAATGCTAGATTTATTTCTTTAGTTTCCTTTTACATGGTGGGAAACTTTGATCTAAAAAAATTAAGTTTTTGTTTTTTCATGATGGGGAGGGGGTGTGCCGATACAGTTCCTCACCAAGGGCGCTGGAGACCCTAGGTACGCCCCTGCATCTGCTGAAGCTCAGACACTAGGGCATCAGAGCTCTTGAAGGATAAAGGTGATAGGACAGACCTATGGCAGGCGACCTCTGGAGGACATGTCAGTCTAACAGCCATGGTCCAAGTACCTTCAGACACGAGGAGTTGATTATCCACAGAAGATAATCGAAATCTTGATTCTAGAAGGCGTTTCTTCCATAATGTCTTACTCTTACACGCCAATGTAGATTTATGTCACCAGCTTTTATACACCGTAACACAATAATGGAATACAAGACATTGTATGCACTGCTTTGTATTCCATTATTGTGTTTGGGATTGTTTTGTTTGTCTTTGCTTGTTTATATTTCTAATGCTCAGTTCATGGCAAACTTTCAGGAAAGAATTGGCTTGTGCAAAAATAAGAGATCAACTTTAACCCCTTAAGGACACAGGACATGTGTGACATGTCATGATTCCCTTTTATGCCAGAAATTTGGTCCTTAAGGGGTTAAACATTCCGTAAACCTTCTCCGATCTTTTCTTCAGTGCGTGTATAGCCGTTTGTTTTGTTTTATACTCGGCCCATTATGTATTGCTTGACAGCGAGGTAATATATAGATTTCTAGTTGGATAAAGCTTTTTTTGACACCTTCTGACTATAGAGCACTGCGTTGCCTGCCCACGCTATTACATTCACATCAACACTTGCATTTATCGTGCATTCGCTCTGTGTTTTTAAGCCGCTTAAGACCAACATAAAGATTGTTTTTGGACGTGAGCTTCCAAGATCATGTAGGTCTGACTTATATCATCTTTCAGCAACCAATTCAAAGTCTTTAGGGGGAAAGGAACTTATCTGCCAGAATACATAAAGCAACCGTTTAACCCTTTCACACTCACCCCTTGCTTGCCATTAGAAATGATGTCAGACACATATTTGATCTATTTTTATAAATCCTATGTCTTAACTTCTTCTGTGCCAGTTTTCATAAATCTCAACTAACAGTTTACTGTAAGGATTACAATATCTATGAACATTCTAAAGAAAGATACAGTCGCATTGCGAACAAATATTAATGGAATGCGTGATCATTCCAACATTCTGCTAACATATAGACTTAAGAAGTCCACCTTTGAGTGTGATTGAAGTGTCAAAATGCCCAAACTGCAGCCTTTATTTTGGCTGAACAGGCTATTGCGGGAAAAATTTAAATGGATTTCCAATATAACGGAGAAAAGGTGTGTGGGCGTTAAGGAGTTTTTTGTCTCATATACTTGCTTATTTAAATAAATGATAAAATAAGTTAATATTTCTACACACTCTCTCATCAAAAGCAAGTTGAAATTGAACCGAGGTAAGTTGATGTGGGATCCGGGAATTGAACCGAGGTAAGTTGATTTGGGAGCGGGGCTTGCTGCTTACTGCTTTTAGCCTCCGAGTATCACAAAGACGGCAGGTATTCTGAATGCTCAAGGACCGTTGGGACTGGCTGCTTCTAAATACAGATCCCAGAGGCATACAGAGTGAGCCTTGAGGCAGCTGACTTTAGAACAAGCCAAATCACAGTCTTCTTCACCGCCATTATGGCCTTTCCTCTTTAGTGAATATATTTTTGTTATATATAAGGTGCTGGCAGTACCTGAAGAAAAGTTTAATTGATTCGAACAATCTACAGCTAAGTAAGAATGCTGCAATAGAGAGTGCATTGAAAAATTCTGAACATGTTTCCCATGCACAGGCGTAACATAAACTGCTCTATTTCTTTCTCTATTTGGTTGTTTAGGGATTAAAATTTCACCAAGCCCCACTGAAAGTAATGAGGTGACTTCTATGTCAGAAATCCACGATTAATGTTTTAAGATTAACTTTTATATTTTAATTTCTTTTTCTCCGAAAGTTTTGCTAAAAATCCAATTGTACAAACAAAGAAGGATGTGATTAATGAATCAATGGTGTTAATTTTAAAATAACTTGATATTGTGATGTAAGCCAATCTGTTCATTTGATTTAGCTTGTTTTCCAGGCTACGCACAAAGCTTTAACCCCAGGGAATCTATTAATGAAAGGATTTTTATCACTGTATTTAAAGTATGTGGGCCATCCATTAGCACTGAGATACTAGGGACATATCTTAGACATAGGCATGCGCAATCTATTGCATTAGGGTGTGCACACATACATATATACACACAGACATACACTGCTATGTTGTGTGTGTGTGTGTGTGCTGTGTGAGGGTGCTGTTAGTGTGATGTGTGTGAGGGTGCAGGTAGTGTGCTATGTGGGTGAGGGTGTTTGTGTGTGTGTGTGCGCTTGTGAGGGTGCTGTTAATGTAGTGTGTGTGAGGGTGCTGTTTGTTTGTGTGTGCGCTTGTGAGGGTGCTGTTTGTGTGTGAGGGTACTGGTAGTGTGCTGTGTGTGTGTTTGTTAGGGTGTTGTGTGTGAGGGTGCTGTTTGTGTTTGTGAGGGTACTGTTAGTGTGCTGTGTGTTTGTGAGGGTACTGTTAGTGTGCTGTGTGTGAGGGTGCTGTGTGTGCTGTGTGTGAGGGTGCTGTGTGTGCTGTGTGTGAGGGTGCTGTGTGTGTGTTTGTGAGGATGCTGTGCGTGTGTGTGCTGTATGTGTGTGGGTGCTGTGTGTGTGTGTGCTGTTTGTGTGCTGTATGTGTGTGGGTGCTGTATGTGTGAGAATGCTGTGTGTGTGGGTGCTGTTTGTTTGCTGTATGTGTGTGGGTGCTGTATGTGTGTGGGTGCTGTGTGTGTGCTGTGTGTGGGTGCTGTTTGTGTGTGTGTGCTGTTTGTGTGTGTGCTGTTTGTGTGATGTATGTGTGTGTGTGTGCTGTATGTGTGTGTGTGCTGTTTGTGTGCTGTATGTTTGGGTGATTTCTGGGGGTGGAGGTGGGGGCAGATTAGTTCATAAATATCCCCCCTCCCTTCTTACCCTATGTAGGGAGGTGGTATCCTTCCTTGCTGCCTTCCTTGGTGGTCCAGTGGAGGTGGGGGCAGATCAGTTAATATCCCCCCTCCCTTCTTACCTTATGCCTGGGAGGAGGATCCTTGTTCCTGCTGCCATCCTTCCCTGGTGGTCCAGTGGTGAGTGAACTCTAGCCTGCAACGCTAAGATCTTGCGAAAGGAACCCGGCGGAGCTGCTGGCAAGAGCTCCCCGGGTCCTTCCCTGCCTCCCTCACTGCCTGTGGGTCGGTGGGGAGGGAGGCTGAGAGTAGAGCTGGCGCTCGGATAGTGCTGGCTCTGCATGAGCCGACAGGGGTGATCCAGAGCTCTCCCCTGCCGGTCTCACACCATAGGCGTGCCGCGAGGATTAGGGTGTGCCCAGGCATAACAGGCACACCCTGTGCGCACGCCTATGATCTTAGAGCAGTTGTACTCACATGCCAAGGGAATATGGCAGCAATGGCTAATCTTGGCACTGCAGATGTTCTTGCAATACATTTCCCAGAATTCTCAGCTGGCCCTAAGACTATCTACTACATCAAATCTTGAGAATTTGTTTGTTAATCAGAGAGTTAGATTGACTTCAATATCACAATATCCAAACTTGAACAAACACGCAGTCCATATGATTTCTTAGTTCTTTCATTCAGTAACACCGGCAGTGCCTGGGTGGCGCATGGCTTGGAGATCATTCACTAAACTCGGAATATTGAGCATTTTAATCAGAATTGATACATTTAGGCAAAAATAGCTCCCCTGGGAAAATTCCCTAACTCTCCTTCAGTCCCAGCTTGGCTAGTTTAGCCTCAGTTTTACAATTTGGATTTAATTTGGACTTTAATTAATATCACAGCAAAAATAAATAAATACATTCAGAAAAAATGTGCTGATTTGAAGAAATTCTCCAACTTGGCCGTAGCCACATTTTGCGTTTTGGTTTTCAATTCACCACAATGTTTTGTTCAGTGAATAAGCCGTCACAGAAATATATGGATGTTATTTAATGCAGTTTGAAATAGTCAGTGATATTAACTGCATTTAACTAATATAAGTGAGTTAAGAACGCCAGCGATGTAATTCAAACATTTCCAATAAAAATAAACATGGCAGAAAAGAAATTGTTGCCTTATATGGTTTACAGTTGCAATGATTTGCTGAGAGATGAGGTAAATGTATTAGGGATATAAATGGCAGAAATTAGGTCGGACTATAAGTAAGAGCACATGTCAGTAACTTGGAACAGAACCAAAATCTAATAATTTGCAGCTTTGTAGGTACAGATCCACCCCGATCAAACATTAAGTAAAAAACAGACACTTCATCCGTTGCTTGTTTTATACACATTAGCACAAAACTGATCCCTTTTACAATATTTCTGTTGCTGAGGCAACTATCACTTCCCATTTATTGTGTCGCATGATCACTACGGTGATTTAATTAGACCTGTCACAAATGGAAATCAAAGCATTTTCATTAGATAAGAAGAACAGGGGTGATGTTCTTAAAGGGACTTCATTTCAGTGGATTTGGTTTAAGGGCTGGAGTCCCTTAGTAAAGTCTTACCTTAAAGGGTTACTACATGCACCATAACCACCTCCTTATATCTGTACTTATACCTGTACTTCATCTCCAATAACCATCCATTCCTTACACCTGTTCTTCACCTCCAATATCCATTCATTCCTTACACCCGTTCTTCACCTCCAATATCCATTCATTCCTTACACCTGTTCTTCACCTCCAATATCCATTCATTCCTTACACCTGCCTTCACCTCCGATATCCATTCATTCCTTACACATGTAGCTCACCTCCAATGTCCATCCATTCCTTAAACCTGTATTTTACCTCCAATATCCATCCATTACTTACACCTGACTTCACCTTCAATATCCATTCATTCCTTACACCTGACTTCACCTCCGATATCCATCCATTCCTTACACATGTAGTTCACCTCCAATATCCATCCATTCATCACATCTGTACTTCACCTTCAATATCCATCCATTCCTCACATCTGTACTTCACCTTCAATATCCATCCATTCCTTACACCTGTACTTCACCTTCAATATCCATCTATTCCTTACACCTATACCGGAACCAATATCCATCCATTCCTTACACATGTACTTTATCTCCAATATCCACCCATTCCTTACACCTATACCTCACTTTCACTATCCATCCATTCCTTACACCTGTAGTTCACCTCCAACATTCATCTTTTCCCTACACCTGTAGTGGTATCTATTCTAGTGGATGCATATCCATTCCTTACTGCCAGCGTCCAGGTCAGGGGTGGCCAAAAGGCATATCATCAGCTGCTGTAGAACAAAAAATTCCACGATGCAACTTCCATTTGGCCACCCCAGGTCTAGTTTAATGATTTGCAAGTGACACCTAATATTATAAAACCCAGAAAGGCTCCTTTTGAAGATTCAAAATGTTGATCCAAAATCACAAAAATTCTCCTAATTTTATAACTTGGCAGCAAAATGATTATTCTTCAACTTGGCTGATTTGCTTTCCACCATCATGCTCTACACACTGGCTTGTTCAAATCTGAGCTATTCCGAAAAACAAACAAATAAATTGCCGCCCATGCAGAAAATCATTTCAAGTTTAGTCTAGAGCTGTGCTTGAAGGACTTTGTAGAATGAGAATAGTCCGGTGTGGCCAGGAACCAAAGAGAAATGATAGGAAATGCTACATTTCATTGTAGGAATCTCTGTGTTCTACATCCAAAAATACATTTAGCAATGATTGCTCAATCGTTCAATTCAGTTCAAATTTGCATGGACTTAGTGAGTGATAACCTAAAAATCAACATTAACATAAATATAGTTATGTTGGGGAACCAGCTTGTTGGACAAAATATAAATAAAATATAGCTGTAAGCAGCAATAGAGTGGTCAACCTTTACAGAACGGCTGGGATGTTTGGCCAAATAGTGCCGATAAAGCATTAGATTGCATAGACATACGATTTATGAAACATTAATAATTCCAGGAACTGAACCCTAAAAGCAGCATGGCCATTACTTACTGCAACCCGGACCTCCACAGCCAACTATAACGACACATGAAATAGTTTTCATTTCATGGTTATTTGTAAATATTAATTGATCAAATACTCAAACTGAGTATACGTTGTATCATAACTCCGCACACAGTTTCACATAACTCCCATAATTGTTCTCGGAGAAGATTTACAAAAATATCCACCACACCATCCTTTATATAGGCTCCAGATTTCATATCAAATATCTCAACAAAGAACACTATAATTCCACCAAACATCATGAATTTTTATTTATTTATTAATTTAAAATTCACAATGAGCTCCATGCATGTTAAATTATATAGAGGGGGATTTATCAATGTATTCTATTCTAAAAAGTAGTGCAAAAAAGTGGTGGTGTCACCAATGGAATGTGTCTGCTGGTTATACTCCTTTTCATAGTGATTGCCCCACTTTTAGTACTTGGACTTATTTTTTTAACACGTTTTGGTAATTCCCACCTCATACATTGCAAACAGTTAAATAAATTCATATTTATGTAACCAAGCGATAAGTGGGATCAGTGGCTTTCTCCATTTTCACATAGTGTGATCATCCAGGTATGACCTACCAAGGACACAATTCTACTTCATTATGTCTGTAACGCTGTATCCTGGCAGGTCTCCTAAAATGCAGATATAGCTGGTGAAACCCCGAAAGGACTGAAAATAAGGTAACGTCTTACTGAGACGTATTACTGGTAGTTATATTGGTCAAGCTTAACTGAAGAATGTCTAATAAGAGGACAAAGCAGGCATCCAAAAAGGGTCAGCAGAAGTGATTAACAAGTTAAGACACAAGTAAGTCTTCATTATAACGCTTCTCAAGGTCATGAACAATGGAACATGTTCTCGTACAACTGTAACCAAACTAACGTTGTATTAACAGAGGTACTAAAGGGATGTGAGATACGATGAAAGGGCTGAAATAGTAAAAATTATGCCGTTGGAATCCAGGAGTCATTCAGCTGTGGTGAATGTGAGAGTGACTCGGCACTAGGGGCTACATGGTGGGAGTGGGTTAAATTCTTGATGATGACACAGTGCTAAGGGTGGGAGTTTGTCATTTACACATCATCAGCCAAGTCATGTGTGAATCATAGATAAATAGCCCCAACATTATTTATCATTATAAATCCAAGGAGATAGTTACATCTATAATTAAGCTGCTCCATGTTTAAATCTGATACTTTGATTGGCTCTAAGTCTCAAACTACTCAAGGCTCCTGTTCATGTCCGTAGAGCGCCCGATGGTATGGGATTGGGTAAGTGGACCTCATGGGTGAAGGCAACTTTTCGCAGTTTGCAAACTCAGGGGTCTGCAGTGTGAAAACCCGTAAGTGCTTGCAGACCCCTGAAGGGATCTAGCACTAAGGAGAAGAGGATGTTATACTTGTAGCAACACCAATCATTTTCTCAAATCAGAGACTCAGAGTCCAGTGCTGGAGTACGAAACACTGATAATGTTATAAATTTCACTTTCTAAATTTATTTATTTTAGATTTCTGCAGAGAGAAATTAAATTAATGATGGACTACGAAAATGCTGCCGTTTTACATATTTAAATTTATATTAGAGTTTTATAGAGTTGCACATCTTCAAAATTTTAAATAAATAAATAAATACAAAGAGATAGGAATTCAAAAAGTTGTTTTAATAATTGTTAAGTTTGTTTTTCTTAAAATCAGATATGTGGGAATCTAGGACATAGTGTGTACGTTTAAGAGGTAATCTAATGGTCTCCATAGTGATGGTATTCACAATGTAAACCAACAGAATTAGTTATTTTACAAGTTGCCCAAAATATGACTTAAACATTATGACCCTCTAAGTAAAATAAATAAAATTATCAATTTTAAATGGTTAACTCTGTTTAACTTTTTTGTTACGTTAAAAAGAGACACCTTTATGCAGTGTGACGGTATTCACAATCACTGGGAGCAGAAGGACACTTTACAATGGTTCCTCAATGGCTTCTATGTCTCAATCACCCTGTGCCCCTTATAGGTGCAGGGTGTTTATAATGTGTGTGTTTATGCTGTTAAATGTTTTGTCTGCTCCCCTGTACTGCTAAGGATTGCTAAAAACTAGGTGGATTTGGCTATGGAGTCTGTATAGCGCCCTTTGTTGGTAGCAACAGCAATATGCACTACCCAAGTAAAATTAAGTTTTGTATGTCAGTTCTTTTTGGAACTTGTGTCCTGTGTGGAATTTTTAGGGATCCCAGTGACAGAGTCCTCGGACCTGTTGGCTGGTTGTATGATTATTATTATTATTTTATTATTTATATAGCGCCATCAGATTCTGTAGCGCTGTAGCCTCTAGCCCGAGATAATTCAAGAGAGCTAGGCCTGAGAGTTGCAAGAGCCTTTGTAAAGGCAATAGAAATCACATTGCAGGCAGAGGGGACGATACCTGCCTGGAAGAAGAACTGCAGCGGAATAGGCAGAGGGGACGATATCTGCCTGGAAGAAGGACTGCAGCTGAATAGGCAGAGGGGACAATATCTGCCTGGAAGAAGGACTGCAGCGGAATAGGCAGAGGGGACGATATCTGCCTGAAAGAAGGACTGCAGCGGAATAGGCAGAGGGGACGATATCTGCCTGGAAGAAGGACTGCAGCTGAATAGGCAGAAGGGACGATACCTGCCTGGAAGAAGAGCTGTAGCCTGGTCGGGTGGAAATGCTCTAGAAGGACCCCAGTCAAGTTGCGGCGACTGGGGCACAAGTGCCTCCGGTTTCCCGGTTCCAGCTAGGGAGGAAGCTTGGCAGAAGTACCCAGCCAGGGTACGGGGAGCTCCGTCACATATCGTTTATAATCAAATCATTTCCTCCAGTTTCCGAAGTACAGCTAAACAGTCTAATTTAGCTCACACTACAGCACAAAGCAATGCAGCTTAACATTTACTATTACACAAAAACAAGTCCGGCACTCAAACTCCCACTACTCCTAGGCAGCAGCAACGACCATAGTACACATCAGCCCCAATGCATACAGTAAAAAAACAAAGCAAAAAAGTTACCTGCGCACTTCCCAAATCTCTATGTATATTTAAATAAATGGAGGTTTGTCACTCTGTTCGTCATATACCCACCAGTCAGCGCTAGCAGTGTTGGCTAGCGAGTTACCGTAGCAACTGCAGCGCATGCGCTATAATTGCTCTCTGTGGAGCAGAAGGACCTCCCGTGTGTGGAGGGATGGGGGGTCTTTTCTGCTCTCCCTTGTCAGTCAAATCGTTGGCATGGAGTCTAGTCTGAAGAACTGATTGACAGGTGGGAGAAAGACTTATTGCTGAATAGTATTTTGTCTCCCAATCTATGTGTGCTAGCAAATCTGCTTGAACAATATACAAATGAAATCGTATGCTATATAAAGTCATAGATGTTTAATGAATCATCCCTCGTACTTTTCAATATCTGTTTTTTAGAATGTAAATTTCCAAACACAAGAGAAGGTTTATAATGTTTGGCAATCACCTTGGGAATCAGTGGAATGTCCCTGCTGATTACACTACGGTTTCTATGGTGATTCACTTACTTTTAGAATGTTGCCCCAGTTTTCTTTAACCACAATTTGAATATAACTGCCCCAAACACTGGGATATTAGAAAAGAACAAATCGTCTCATCAATACAGAATTACACATTTATGAATTTTATATTCTGTTAACATTGGGCTTTAGTCCATTCGCTATAAAATTAAAGAATAAACATTATTTGGTAAATGACAGTAATAAGAGAACATCCTTTCTGATTACTGTGACAGCAAGTGACCCACCAACACGTGATACAGAAATGATCAATACATTTCGATTCACATTTTCTCCTCTATAGTCGAGCAATCAGGACGCAGCTTCATATCCTTTATTGAGGGGTGATTGCTTTGTGACTTGTGTTACTGCAAGTCCTGACATCTGATCCAATTTGGGGGTCTCTAAACATGGAACATATGTCGCAAGTCAGTATTCTCAGCCTTTCTATTAATAAGACAGCTCAACATATACGGGTGGTTTAAATATTTATTTATTTCTGCATCGGTGCAGTGTTCACTTCCTTATTTTTTGTAAAAGTCCATTTTAGGCTGTTTAGGATGAAACTGATTTCCTTGCCAGTGAATCTCTCAAAATATGTCTCAATTAGGCAAGAGCCAGCAAGCAGCGTGTTTCAAAATAGCAGCATGGCATGTGTGTCTCTTTTAATATGAAACGGAAATTAATTCATAAATAAATGTTTTTTAACTTAGCACTTTCCTGCAATATTAAACACCAGGGCCGTGTTCTCTAAATCAAGAGTTTAATGTCAGTTTAATACGTTTTATCCAAACTAAAAATTAAATAAAGCCACAGCAGCTGACCCGATCAATATTTATCTACCAGCCTGGCTGTGTTCACATTAATGTTAAAGGTTGATTCTCCAGATATAGATATTAGATACTTTTAGCCATAACAGCAGACTCAGCAAAGAAAAGCACAAACATAGAAACCTAAATAAGTGAAATTGGGTTTTCCCATTTATTTTGGTTTATCGTTTCTATGTTGATTCTTAGGAAAAAGAGGTTGTGAAAAAACGTTGATATGAAAATGAACGTTCATGTTGCCATCTGCTTACTCTCTAGACTACTTCCAACTCATAATTTAATAAGAAAACATGGGGATCAATGTGAGAGGCCGTGCACAGCTATATAAACCTGCCCTTAAAGGACACGCCAGACACCCTAAAGCAGCTTTGGAAGTGCTTTATGTGTGAAGAGTGTGATCTCTTTTGATTTTTACTAAATCTGCAGATTTTAATAGAAATTGTCACTTTTATAAATTAGCCTGGTTACACCCCCCTTGGCTGTCAATCAGACAACAGGTCCTGTTACTTCCTGGTTTGGTTAGCTCACTGGAGATAAACTCAAGAGGCAGCAGAATTCCAGACTAGAGAACGGCAACTACTGCAAACATTTTTACATCAGCCCCAATTCCCCCTTACACATGTATGATTAAATGAATTCATGTTTTTGGGGGTGTATGTACTAAGCAATGCTTTTTATTTACTTATTTTTACTTTGGCGGTGGAGTGTCTGTTTAATGTGTCTGTCGCCCATATCCCACAACGCACTGCAGCACAGCAAAGGTTTAAGAGACCTGCAGACTTCACTGATGGAACAACAGCTTATAAGAGACAGCTAAATGTTGTTTTTTTTGTTTTTCATTAAATTTTTATTTTGGGTTTGTCATGCATTTCCATAATCAACCGAGAATAAAATGAAAGGGTTAAATTCACTGTTACTTGCAATGTCAGTGGGTAGGATTTAATCTCTGTCATTGTCATATTTTTTCAACAGAAAGGGAAATCCGTTCTATTTTGTGTTAAATCCCCTAATCAGATTGAATTTTTGCTTTAACAGTGTTTGAATGGTACGGTTGTAGTTAAACCTATAAAAGCTGAGGGAATAAGTGTACAGATCAGCCAATCTTTAATCTACTCGGGAATACTGTCAGCTTTCCCTAACAGTAAACAAATTATAATTATAAACTGGAATCGTTTCCCAGAGTAATGAAACAATTAACCATCTTGGGTAAACACACACGGCTCATGAAAAGCTTGTCATTTCCCCCTAGAAATCAGAATGTAACTTTAGTTAAGAATGAAGTGTAAGCTCACAAGATCAGGCCCCATTTATCGGTAGAGATACATAGACCTATGCCAGCATCAGTGACCAAATAAATACATTATAGGGGGGGAAATAAATACAAAAATCTATAAATATGTATACATATTCTTCTTAGATAAACTGATTACATAACAAAATAGACACATTGTAAAAAAAATTATGTTAAAAGGCATTGCTAAGTGTAGCCTTATATGTCTATGGGGTAAGTAAAGCAGAGCAGCGGGCTCCTCCCCCAAGACTTCCATCAGCGCTTCTGACTGATATTGGCCTATTATTTTTTTTTTAATTCTTTATTTTTACTCAATAGAATCAGCAAGTGTACATCAACTTTCAGGCTTACGCAGAAGCCAACATGTTCAACATTGTGGGAACATTACAAAGTTTGCCGAGAAAATAAAACACAAAGAGTAAACAACAAAGACAAGGCAAGGACAATGTGTGCTCCGCCATTTAATGAATCTACTGGCACCTGCCGTCTATCGAGGTGTTTTTAAATTTTTTAATTACCCCCTTCTAGGATATACATCAATGATCGGGTAATTCGACAGTTATACGGTCACTTTCGAGCTAATATAGAGGCCTATTAAATTACAATTTAATATAAGAAAAAAGTAATCGTTGTGGTTGTCGTTTGCATGTAATTGTAACTTAGTATTGGCTCTCTCCGTTTGTCGGGGAAACTTATGGTAGATAAAGGTACAGGCTAATCTGCAAAAGTTAAGTAGCCATCATATTTGCTGATCAACTTCCTAAGTGTGTTACCTTGTTCCTCCAATCATTGGTCTAGCCTGAAAATCACATGAAACGATGAAATAAGAGAGAAAAAGGAAGAAAAAGAGGAAGTAAAAAGGATTAGAGAGAGAACGAGTAGTGCCTAGTCTAGGCTGAAAAAGGGAAAAGAGGGAACTGGGGGGGGAAACGGCGGGCCCACCATCTCTCCGCTGGCGGCAGCACCCCAACCGGCGATATATCGTCGCGGTCAGCACCAGTTGGGGTATGCCTTCAATCTCCGCTCGATCCAAATACGCTATTGTCCCATGGTTCCCAGAGTTTTTGGAATGTTGCGGTGGTCCCCCTCACCCTTGCTGTCAAATCATCCATAATTCTACATTCTTTAATTCTGGAGATTACCCCTGCGAAATCCGGGCCCTCTGAAGTAAGCCATGCTGTCGCTATCGCTCGACGCGCGCACAAAGTAATCTTGTGTACTAATTTCTGTTCCCGAGTGGACCACCCATCCACAGATCTATTTAATAAGTAGGTCCAGGGGTCTAACCTCAGAGGCTTATCAAATATCTGCTTCAATAAATCCTCCACAGACTTCCAGAATCCGCGTATCTTTGAGCATTGCCACCACATGTGTAAATACGTTCCTTGGTCTCCGCAACCCCTCCAGCAATCATCTGTGTCTAATTTGTGCATCCTATGTAATTGAATTGGGGTGGTGTACCATCGGAACATAGTTTTCCACGCCTGCTCCTGTAGGGTGACACATATTGAAACCTTAGCATTTGCCTCCCAAATCTCTTGCCACTCCAGCCCCTCCAAGGTCTCACCGAGGTCATTCTCCCATTGGACAGTATACGTTAGTCTTCCCCATTCTCCATTTTCTTCACTGAGGTGTGCGTACAATAATGTGATCATCCCCTTGGGGGTTGCCCCGTCCGAACATATTCTCTCGTAGAAAGTGTGAGTCTCCATTGCAGCCTTTTTAATGGTTGGTTTTTGGGCGAAGTCTCGTATTTGGATGTACCGGAAAAAATCCGCTGGAGTCAGGTGATTACCCAATTGAAGGTCCGCGAACTGAACGATCTCTCCATTATGAAGCAGCTGATGCAACCGTTGCAGTCCAGCACGTTCGATGTTGCGGAAGTGCCTGGGGGTCATACCAGGGGGGAATTCTCTGTTCCTAAGAAGTGGGGTCATAGGAGAAGGGGATGATGCCAGCTTATATTTGGCGTTACACATGTCCCATATGCGTATCGAATTGAGGATCGCTGGGCATGTTATCCGTATTTCCGGTCTGTATTCTCTGGGGACCCACATTGTGAACTGGGGGACATCCACCCCCACCATCATAGATTCGATATCCACCCACCGCCTCTCCTCAGGAGCGGAATGCCACATGGCTATCTGCGTTAGTTGTGCCGCTAGGTAATAAAAGAAGAGGTTCGGAAGGCCCAAGCCCCCTCTATCTTTTCGCCTATACAGTACCTGTTTGGAAATTCTATGTCTCTTGTTCTGCCATATAAAGTTCCCTATTGATCTTTGCAAGGGAAGCAATTGTGTCTTCGTGATTCGGATGGGTAGCGCCTGAAAAAGAAACAGTAAGCGCGGGAGGATGTTCATTTTTACAGAATGTATCCTACCGATCCAGGAAATGGGTTTGTCCACCCATTTGTCTAGGTCCTCCGTCAGCGCTCTAAGCATGGGGGCGTAATTAGTTGCATATAGACGTTCTGGGTCAGCCGTTATGTTGATCCCTAGGTACCTTAGGGAGTCTGTTTCCATACGGATTTGGTATACCTCCTGCAACCTAGCTGTTTCATCTTGTGTCAGGCATATCGGGAGCGCACTGGACTTTTGGATGTTTGCTTTATAACCGGATAGTCCTCCGTATTCTAGAATGACTCCCTTAAGTGCGGTCATCGATTCTAACGGAGTCGTGATGGTTAAGAGAACGTCGTCCGCGTAGGCTGATACCTTGAAATCTTCATCCCCCACTCTTACACCCTTAATGTTTGGATGTTGACGTATCGCGTGAAGTAGAGGCTCCAACGCCAAAACGAAAAGTAGGGGCGAGAGCGGGCAACCCTGTCTCGTGCCATTGTATAGCCGAAATGGGTGGAACGGGGCACCCGTTATCTGTACTTGTGCCCGCACGTTATCATACATTGCTTTCGTTGTAGTTAAGTATTCCTCTGGGAAGCCCATGCACTTCAGAACTGGAAAAAGAAATTGCCACCGAACTCTGTCGAACGCCTTTTCAGCGTCTAAGGATACCACTATATTGGCCTATTATTATTGATGATGGTACCTGTCAGTTATTGAACCAGGCTCTTTCATTGGCTGTCTTGGTGTATTGGTGTAACAAGGTCACACTTCCTGTTACTTTGTGTTTGGCTGATGTTAAGGAAACCAATAACAGCCACTAGACATTTCACAAAACTTAGCCACGAAAAGAAAACTTTTTCAAATGTGACCTCGAATTTATCATGATTCGTGGCCAGGTTCGTCCACTTGGCAGTGGAATATATTTCCTATTATGTGGGAAGGTCTAACTTCTGTGAAACACAAGGAGATCTGGTCACTCTGTATGGTGACATAGTAGTGAGCCTCCCAGATGTGTTAAAACACTACAATAATGGTGGGAGAGAATAGCTCAATGAGCATTACATACACCAAATTAGGGAATTTACCGTGTTACTTACTCCCTGTGGACACTTATTACGGGAGTGGCAGGTTGGAATGTTTGAACCAGGGAGAATCAAAAAATGGGAAGAGTTACTTGGAGCGTATTGTTTAAAGGGACACTATAGTCACCTGAACAACTTTAGCTTAATGAAGCAGTTTTGGTGTATAGAACATGCCCCTGCATTCTCACTGCTCAATTCTCTACCATTTAGGAGTTAAATCCCTTTGTTTATGAACCCTAGTCACACCTCCCTGCATGTGACTTGCACAGCCTTCCTAAACACTTCCTGTAAAGAGTCATCTACCGTTTATCCTTCCTTTATTGAAAGTTCTGTTTCATTTAGATTTTCTTATCCCCTGCTATGTTAATAGCTTGCTAGACCCTGCAAGATCCTCTTGTATGTGATTAAAGTTCAATGTACAGAGACAGAGATACAATTATTTAAGGTAAATTACATCTGATTGAAAGTGAAACCAGTTTTTGTTCATGCAGGCTCTGTCAATCATAGCCAGGGGAGGTGTGGCTAGGGCTGCATAAACAGAAACAACATGATTTAACTCCTAAATGGCAGAGAATTGAGCAGTGAAACCTGAGAGGCATGATCTATACACTAAAACTGCTTTGATAACCTGAAGTTGTTTAGGTGACATTAGTGTTCCTTTAATAGGGATCCTGCTGAAGGGAGATTGAATTTATACAAAATACTCTGAGATCAGATCACAATCATAATAAGAGATTTTTTTCAATATTTCAATGATTATTATTAGTATAATTTTTATAGTAGCTACGTATCCTGCAGCGGCCTTTTGAAACAATATCTAACTTACAAGACACGTTTTCAGATTCAGCCTTGCTGGGTCCTGTTCCTCATTTTTATGTTCCTTTGTAAATGTAAATATAGAATTATCTAGCTGCCTGAGTGTTTGTTGTAACGAGCAAAGAGTTCTGTTTTCTGAGAAAAATAATAACATTATTAACTGGTCTCTTTGTAAATAGCCTGTCATGTCTGTCTCATACGCTTCTTGAATAACTTGCTCTCCTCTTGATAAATCTTTGAATATAGCGTAGAACATTTTCTATATCATTTCCCGCTTCATATCATAGCGTTCTTCCAAGAAAGGCAAACTGATCACACATGTATTGATTCATTAAATAAACGTATGACATACTTGAATCTTCATATGTTTAGGATTTTGCATAGAGAGAGAGACCGCGGGATCACAGTAAATTGAATTATGTTGTTTTTTTGGGGAATCCCTGGCTGGAGAGACTTAGAACAGTAATCTGTGGATTCAGCATATAAACCCCACTTCTCGACATACGGGGAGAGGACTAATGAGATTTTATTTTGTCATCGAATGTTAATAAACATATCTGTCATGGTACATTAAATATTATATTAAGTGACATAGGAGACATTTCTATTTTCTATATATAAGGTATATTATGCTAGAAGAATTCCTTGCAAATGTGTTATAATAAATAATAAATATATCTAAATCTATCTAATCTATGTATGTGTAATAATAAATAAAGATGGATGGACGGACGATAGATCAATATGACCACCATAGTCAAATATTCTTGCCCCTACCATCATGCAGTGAGCAGTGACGTCTAGTAAACAGTGAGTATCCAGTGGCTGCTTGTTGTCTTAAGAAAATACTAGCGTCTCAACAGATATAAATCAGGCTATTAAATAAAATGAATGGGGGGACATAGTGTCCGATTGGCAGTAGGCAGGGTTCCTAAATGCAAGAAAAAAACGGGGGTCAAGGGCTGCGCTTGAGTAGGGAGATAAAAAAGTGAATAAGTGAATAAAATCGTATATTAATAAAATAAACAGTGATAATAAAATCAAGTAAAGTTCATCCGGATTTGTAAAAAGTATAAATAAAAACAGTCTCACTGGTATGCAGTAGCACGATAATAATCCTCAAGTATGGCTCCGTCCGTGTAGTAGGTAGTCCATATATGTGAAGATAAAAGACAAAAGAAAAAGCTGCCAATGGTGAAATATTGTATATCCTGATGTTGTATATATTCAAAGGAAATATATTTCACTCACATTTGGTGGAGCTTTTGCCAGCTCTGGGAGAAGAGACACTAAGTGGTTTGATCCCCACTAACGGATATGCTCGGATGATCCGTCTATCCGGCTTGGAGTTCCTGTGGTGTCGGCTAGGATCTACTTCAGATGTGCGTTAATTCCTTAATGCTTGGAAGATAGGTCCGCCTTTCCGATATCTGATAATAGGTGTCCACGGAGTATATATGAAACAGCAAATAGTGCTCTCAGTATGAACAACAAAGTAATATCTTTAAGTGAGTTATACTTACAAGAATAGAGCAGACAGGTACTGCTCTATTGCCACAGCTCTGGTGGAATTATCCCCACCTAAGGATTTCTTTGGACGGAATATACTTTCAAGTTAAAAAATAAAATAAAAAATAAAAATAAAAAAGGGATGGATAAAACTATAAAATATGTGATGATTCAAAATATATATATATAAAAATTATATACAAAATGCCAGGGGTAAAGGAAAGTGTATAAAATACAATAAAAATAAGTTTACAATTGGTCCTAGTATAAAAGGTAACCAAAAATAACTTTTATTGATTTAAAATACACTTATTAAAACCATTTACGCGTTTCACCTTTGGGGTTTTCTCAAAATGGTAAAAGAACAGTACACCTGGCAAGGAACTGAATATATAAGTTTACAGAAATTTAATTTGGCGCCAAAATTTTTTGTGCACCAATCACAAACAAGTATTAAAACCAAACTTTATATACATTTCAAAGTAACATTACAACCTTATAGGTATATTCATATGAGCCTTAATAGGCTTAAAAAATTAAAATTTTATGAAAACAAAGCTTTAAAAAGAATTTGAAAGGAGTTTCATTACTATTAATCCCGATCACGTGACACATCTCAAAGTAATATAAAAACCATATAGATGCCTTTGTTATCGCCTAGTAGAGCTCAAGGGATAAAAATTTATTTAAAACGAAGCTTTTGGAAAGATTAAATTGTATTTTGTTCCGATCACGTGATCGGAAAGCGGCGCGCATGCGCAAATCAATTAATAGGCGAAATCACTTCCTGGTATACACGGAGTGCCCAGTGGCCGGCTAGAAACACAATGCTCTATGGGAAATAGAGTCCTGCCGGCCACTGGGCGCTCCTATAATGGGATACATACTTCAGATCATATTTATGAATGAAAAAGAGCACTTTTAAATATAAAAGAACATTTTTAGATATAAAAGCATTTGTTAAACTGCCCCACAAATTTATACATAAGGATAAATATAAAAGCAATAGCTGAGAATGATAAAACAGATATCATTAAAAAATAGAAGCAAAATCTTCTAAGTAAAACATAATAATATTGCAAATATAAGATTAGAATTGAAACATAAAATTAAAATGGTGATATGATTACATAAAATAAAAAGTTAAAAATGGGAATGTTAGTAATTAGACATATCATAAAAAATTGTGCAAATCAAATTCTGCATTAAGTCCATTTGGTGTTAGGGTCTGTAGCTTATAAACCCATTCCATCTCGGTTTTGCCTAAGATGTTTTTTATATCTCCTCCTCTCCAGGGTAGGGAAAATTTTTTGATTCCCATATATTTTAGCATTTTAGGATCTTTATTATGAATTAAAAAGTGCTTTGATAGAGAGTGATTTAAATAACCATTTTTTATATTTCTACAATGCTCACCTAATCTGACTTTTAAACATCTTGTAGTCATCCCAACGTATTGGAAGCCACACGGGCATTCCAATAGGTAGATGACATTCTTGGTATTGCATGTAATAAATTCTTTGATTTTAAAAGTAGTTTTGGTTTTGTTTGAGGTAAATTCTATTATTTTTGGTGGCATTGTAGGATCAGCTGATTTGCACACAATACAATTCTTACATTTGTGAAAGCCTAAAGATTGGGGAAAGAAGGTTACAAAATTACTGGGTTTGATTTCTTTGGTGAAATTGGTAGTTAAGATAGATTTGACGTTAGGAGCCCCTCTAAAAATTACATTCGGTTTTTCTGGTATAATTTTAGAGAGTTTTTCATCATGTTCTAAAATATGCCAGTGTTTTTGGATGATCTTTTTGATCTCTTTACTTTTATTGGTATAATTTAAAATAATAGGGAGGGATATTGAGTTATTTTTGGTTTTGGGTTTATACTTTAGAAGCTCATCTCTGTTTTTATTTTTTATCTCATTAATATTTTCGAGTAGGTCTTTTTCTTGATAGTTTTTCTCTATAAATCTGTTTTTGAGGGCATTCGCTTGTTCTTCAAAATTTTCCAATTGGCTTTTCGGAGCACTATCAAGCCACGGTTTGTAGTGGCAACTATTTTTATCGATTACTGTATTGACACAGACTTCTTTAAAAAAGGTTTTTGTGTTTATTTTACCATTTTTGATAAATATATTGAGATCTAAAAAGTTTATTTGTTTTCTACTAAATTCATGGGTTAAAATGATGCCCCTGTTATTAGTATTAAGAACATTAAAAAAAGAGATAAGATTGTCTTCCGACCCATTCCAAATAAAAAAGAGATCATCAATATATCTAAAATATGAGACCAGGTTTGCCCTTAGGTTATCTCCGTTGTAGATAGCTGTAGATTCCCAATCTGCCATAAACAGATTGGCATAGCTTGGGGCAAACCTGGTACCCATAGCAGTTCCTCTTCTTTGGAGGTAAAAGGAATCTAAAAACCAAAAATAATCATTTTTTAAAATAATATTGATACCCTCTAAAATAAAATTAATTTGTTGCTCCGGAATTCTATCTTCCTTTGTTAAGATATTTTTAATAGCTTCACATCCAACTTTATGAGGTATAATGGTATAGAGTGATTGGACGTCACAGGTGACCAAAATAAAATTGGGGTCCCATTTAAAATCTTTTAAAAAGTTCAAAAGGGACATAGAGTCTTGAAGATAAGATTTCATTGTTTTAACAGCAGGTTGTAGAAGAGTGTCTATGTATTGGGATAGGTTACATAAAAGTGAACCTATTCCTGACACTATTGGTCTGCCTGGGGGATTAGTAACATTATTGTGTATTTTTGGCAGGAAGTATATTACCGGAATTTTTGGGAATTTTGTGTTCAGGAAGTTATACTCTTGTTTAGTTAAAATAGCTTGGGATACACCTTTGTTGAGAAAGGTTAAAAAGAGGTTTTGAATAGTCTTTGTTGGGTCTGATGAGAGTTTCTCATAAACGTCAGAGTGATTAAGTTGTCTGTGCGCTTCTTCTATATACATGGCACTAGATAAAATGACTAGACCACCACCTTTATCGGCAGGTTTTATCACAATATCATTATCATCTTGTAGCTCTTTAAGTGCTTTTTTTTCTTTGTTTGTTAGATTTTGTGTATCGTATTTTTTAGTCTGCAACTTGTTTAAATCCTGTGTAACCAATTTCTCAAAAACAGTTAGTGGGGCAGTTTTCATAAAAGCTGGATAAAATTTGGATTTTTCTCTAAAATGCGTGTTCCTAAATAACAGCCACCCCCACAGCCACCATCCTTTGGCAGTATGTGGGAACCCTAAATAACAGGTGTGGTGGACCTATTATACCCCCCCTCCCCCGGTCACCATCCATTGGCAGTATGTGGGAGCCCTAAATAACAAGGGTGGTGAACCTATTGTACCCCCATGAAAAATATCTTCCACCCCAAGTGACTTGGAGGGTTCCCTTAGCCCCTAGTCACACCTCCATAAACAAATACAGAACCTACTCTCCTCACCCTAATAATAGTGAGGGAGGCAATAAACGAAATACCTGTAAAATAAAAATAAAAAATCTTACCATTACATATTTTCTTTATTCTTAAATCTTCTTTTCTTCAGCCTCCGAAAAAAGGTTAAAAAGTTGTGTCCCAACTAATAAAGAACAAAAAACATGCCAAAAAACCCCAACAATGAATAATAATGAATCCATTTTCACCCTGCCAGGGTTATAAAGGCTTTCCCACGCCGTGCACTTTGACTCAGAGTTGGCTTAATCCAACCAATCAGAGTAACGAATCCATCTTCACCCTGCCAGGGTTATTAAGGCTTTCCCACGCCGTGCACTTTGACTCAGAGTTGGCTTAATCCAACCAATCAGAGTAATGAATCCATCTTCACCCTGCCAGGGTTATTAAGGCTTTCCCACGCCGTGCACTTTGACTCAGAGTTGGCTTAATCCAACCAATCAGAGTAATGAATCCATCTTCACCCTGCCAGGGTTATTAAGGCTTCCCCACGCCGTGCACTTTGACTCAGAGTTGGCTTAATCCAACTAATCAGAATGCTCTGACAGGTAAGTCTTGCGACTGAAGGTAAGAAGATGGAAGATATATCTAATTGTAGGTATTATTTTAGGTATTTAGCTTATTGCCCACCTATTATTATTTCACATAATATTTAATAGCACCCATTAATCATTTTAATGGCCCCACAACTTTACCAGATCCCCCTTTATTGGATTGGAGACCAGTTGCTGGTCTTTTTTTATGACAGCGAGTAGTCACTGGCTGCTCACTGTTTAGTAAACATGCCCCTACTCGTGGTACTGCAGTTAGGGGCCAGAGGATGGAGTTAACCTCTTTTATTCTAATATGGGGTCATATTGCCCCCATAGGGTGACGGGGGTGGGGGGATACGCTTAAAGGACCACTATAGTGCCAGGAAAACATACTCGTTTTCCTGGCACTATAGTGCCCTGAGGGTGCCCCCACCCTCAGGACCCCCCTCCCGCCGGGCTATAGGGTGAGGAAGGGGTTAAACTTACCTCTTTCTCCAGCGCCGGGCGGGGGACTCTCCTCCTCCTCGGCTGAATGCGCATGCGCAGCACGAGCCGCGCGCGCATTCAGCTAGTCCATAGGAAAGCATTCTCAATGCTTTCCTACGGACGCTGGCATCTTCTCACTGTGAAGGACCACTATAGGCACCCAGACCACTTTGGCTTAATGAAGTGGTCTGGGTGCCAGGTCCAGCTAGGGTTAACCCTTTTTCTTTTTTTTAATAAACATAGCAGTTTCAGAGAAACTGCTATGTTTATCTTAGGTTTAATCCAGCCTCCAGTGACTGTCTCTTGACAGCCGCTAGAGGTGCTTGCGTGCTTCTCACTGTGAAAATCACAAGCCCGGCGTGAGGGGGTCCCTGAGGTTGGGGGCACCCTCAGGGCACTATAGTGCCAGGAAAACGAGTATGTTTTCCTGGCACTATAGTGGTCCTTTAACCCTATTATAAACATAGCAGTTTCTCTGAAACTGCTATGTTTATAGAAAAAAGGGTTAAACCTAGCTGGACCTGGCACCCAGATCACTTCATTAAGCTGAAGTGGTCTGGGTGCCTATAGTGGTCATTTAAATATGGCAATCCCACGAGGGTATCAATTTATGGAGTTATTTACTAAATGACAGAATGATCATTACAATGTATAATAGTAATAAGTAACATTTTTATAAATAGTTTGAACACCATACAGTTTTATTTTAAATTTTATTTTTACTTTTGCATTTAAGAATAGTGTTCATATATGGTTATATTAATTTAAACTAATTTAAATGAATGGCATATTTTTAATCCACAAAGTAATTTAGTGCATTTTTGGACTCGTCATGGAAAATGTGTTCTCCTTTTAAAGGAAAATATAATCAATGAATTCAAATGTATTTTTTTATTTTCTTTTTCCATTGAATAAAAAAATGGTACAAAGAATAACTTCATTTAATTGGAAAATGTGTGCATTTATTTATATTTTTTAAGAATGCCATTTCCAGATAATTCTCCAGACCTTCAGCATTAAAAAAAAAAAAAAGAATTAAACGTTTTATAAAATGCACAGAGAGCTTAACATGTTCACCTTATTATTATTATTTTTATTATTATTATTATTACTGTATGACACTATATGTTAACTTATTTGTTAAGTTCTGGTTATTTATGTTTGATGTTTGGTTTATATCAAGTAAAGAAGAATATTACAATAAATTATGATGTGTTATACAGTATTTATCAGATGTTATAATAAATGCTGTGGCCTGTTTCATCCATACTACGTTGTCTGTCATTATTTGCGCGGTAATTGGGATAGTTCTATATTAGTATGCTACATCACGATTCCCCATTACGTACATACATGATTGTTTTTTTCCAACTCATTCAGTTAAATTACTAATTTATCCATGTGAATACATTTAACCAAATCACTAGTGTAAATATAGATTGTCGATTTGTTATGGTGAATACGCATTACTGACTCACTAGTGTAAATAAAGATAGTCATCTTGTTAGGGTGAATATAGATTATAATTATTATTATTATTATTTTCATATTGTTATAACAATAAGTCTGTCAATCAGACAACAGGTCCTGTTACTTCCTGGTTTGGTTAGCTCAGTGGAGATAAACTCAAGAGACAGCAATTGCCCAGAGCACCTGTCTTGTAAAGACTTCTCATTGAGCTGCATTGGGAAGTCTGTGATTGGACAGACACAGTCCAATCTGTTTATCGAACAGAAAATGACCGACTTCAATGTTTTCTCAAGACTGGGAGAGAGCTAACTTAATATACCCACATACAGGTTATAGCTTTATCACACTTATCACCAACCTGTTAAATCTTTTCATGCCAGGGTACTTTTTCCCTACATGCAGTGTAACAGGCAATATTTTAAGAAAATGTTGCCACTAACCTTTCGTCATTACCTATTACAATAGCTGTGGTATGTTCAGCTGAGATCTGCAATGGAGACACATTTCACATGAGACTAAACTGAACTATTTAGATACAGCAAAAATATGAGAAAAATAACATAGCTAAAATAGTGTAACTGATCCCGTGCATAATTCCATTATGACATGGACTGTGTAATTCATTCTTAGCTCCGTATAACCTTTTCACAAAGTAATCCGTGAATAAAAAACAGCAATTGGGATCCCTGGAGACAAGCCGAAATTCCTGCAGTATCTTGTTTTCTGCTTAGAAAATGATTAACAAAGATAAAGATTTGATAATTGCAGTCTCTTGGTGTCACATATTATAGAGTGCTTTTCATGTGTGATGTTGGGAAGAAACCAAGAAACATAGAGGTAGACGATGGACACAAACCATTTGGACCATCTAATCAGACTATTTGTCAAGTTTAAACAGTGAAATCATACATCATTTCTGTCTGCGAGACTCTATCTATCCCCCTCAGGCCTCATTTACCCAATCTTTTTCTAACACCACTACTCCACAAGCTGTGAACCGAATGTTCTTATAGTAAGTCTGATAGGGAAAGTACAAGATGTCTCCAGAGTCCAGGTGAGTCACTAAGCAGGAGGAGAGTGCAGGTTAATAAACTATTGCATTCTACCCCTCCCAACATTCCAAAATGAAACATATTTCTGGAAAAGAAACCCTGGCCTTCCAAATCATATTAGATGTGCAGCATTAGTGCTTTCAGGAGGTGGATTTAGTACTGGCTCTAGTTGTTCCTCATTAGATCTGCTCCCTTTGTGACCCAATAGCTGCATCTCATTGTTCCTCATTAGCTCTTTATCCTTTATTACCCAATATCTGCGCCTCATTATTCTTCATTAGATCTGCTCCATATGTGACCCAATATCTGCTTCTAGTTGTTCCTCATTAGATCTGCTTCCTTTGTGACCCAATAGCTTTATCTCATCGTTCCCCATTGGCTCTGCTCCCTTTGTGACCCAATTGCTGTGTCCTGTTGTTCCCCATTGGCTCTGGTCCCTTTGTGACCCAATAGATGCATCTCGTTGTTCCTCATTAAACCTACTCCATTTGTGACCCAATAGCTGCATTTCATTGTTCCTCCTTGGCTCTGCTTCCTTTCTGACCCAGTAGCTGTGTCAGGCTGTGTGGCAGAACTTACCACCTATTCATGTGTTTTCCCCTCATTTAGTTTGTTTTACCCTTTTTCTGTTCGGGAGTACTTCATACGAACAAAATCCATTTGTCTCCCGAATGAGGACCACCACTGTATCCCATTAGTACATTCACACCAGCAACGTAAGTGTGAAACCGCAAGGGAAGTAATTTATGAATGCTTCCCCTGGATGGCCGCAGTTTCGTATAACCGTACCACACGTGGCAGACAAACGAATGGCGGCCATCTTGTCTCCCGAATGTGGGCAGCGGTACTTGGTCATCAAGTGGTTGGAATTCCTTTTGGCTAGGCACTTGCACGAACACCGGTAAAACTTAGACCGCTGCCGTTCTATTTCCCGACCACCTATGCGAAAGACGTTCAAGAGATATGAACTACCAAACAGGGGGAGCATTTGCATCCTGAAATAAAGAGGTCCCCTTGCATGGTGTTCGCACAGGAACCCCACGAACAGAGACCGGCCAGGGCACCTATTTTCATGGAACTGTTTTGGGCTAGTGCCTCATTTCTGGCCGGTCAAAACTTTACCTCGATGGCATTCCCGTTTCACCAAAATCTGAGCGATCTTTGGATATGTTATACATTCATATCGGGGCTATATTTTTTGTGGGGTTCCTGAGTGTAGTGGGGACACTTTTGGGGTACTGGATATTTTGTATGGATTTTCTGTGCTTGAAAGATATTTGGATTAGAGGTTTATCTCATGCAATTATCTCTCAGGCACAGAGGATTTTTGGATTGAAACCCCTGTTTTATTATATTGGATACCTCATGTAAGGGGTCTCGGCATAAAAGCCGTGTGTGGCCTGAATAAAATCAGTTGACTCCCAGAACTATGCTTCATATGGTTACTGGGGGAATGGGTGTCTGTTGGTTTTGATGGTTCCAGAGTGGAAGGAAGGAACTGGCGTAGGTAGTCGAGTTACTCGTGGTCCGCTAAAGGGTTGTTTATCAGGTTGGCTCTGCTTCCATTTGTGACTCTATAGCTGCATTTTATTGTTCCTCATTGGTTCTGCTTCCTTTGTGACCCAATAGCTGCGTCTCATTGTTCCTGGTTGGTTCTGCTTCCTTTGTGACCCAATAGCTGCTTCTAGTTGTTCCTTATTGGCTCTGCTCCCTTTGTGACCCAATAGCTGCGTGTCATTGTTCCTCATTGGCTCTGCTTCCTTTGTGACCCAATATCTGCGTCTTGTTGTTCCTCATTAGATCTGCTCCATTTGTGACCCAATAGCAGCTTCTAGTTGTTCCTCATTGGCTCTGCTCCCTGTGTGACCTCTAAGCTCTGCTCGACCCTTTCTGTTGATGATCTAGATTGAGGGAGCACAAAGAAACCTCACTGACCCCAATTTCTTGCTAGCTGTATTATACAAATGACATCATATCCAAGGTTAACTCCAGTATATCTTCCTGGATAAATTCATGTTTCCAAACCTGCTGCTTGCTTACTTTACCTGGTGTCTAGCAAGTCTTCCCTGGACTGCTGAGATCTCTATATCTTCATCCCTGCGGTCTATGAGCCTTAACAAATGCCACATCTGCAGTGGCAAGGTTCCAGCTAGCCATCCATACTATATATAGTTTAACCTGCTACCCTGTTCTCTATAGATCTGTAGGCCCTTTGTAGGTGTACATGTGTGGCCCAGTGAGTCTGCCACTTTATTGTACTGTTAAAAACAAACAAATATAGTCATGTGTAATTAAATTTGTTAGATGATTAATAATTAAACTAATTGCATGTACTGAAAATGAC